GTATTGAGAGAGATATAAAAACAAATTAGTTTGTGGGTTTCATAAAAAGAAGTTACAGTAACATAAAACTATTTTGGGTTTAGACATGATTGTAATAGTAATATTATTTGTGTCTGCTGGTTTGCATTCCATTTCACCCAATGCAAATCCAACTGTGGCAGTACTACATAGGCACCAGTGAAGGTAAATGTGGAATTTTTAAAAGTATGAAACTTAGAGCCATGTCTCACTGAAGTTACATGCAACATATTTCTGAAGACTTTAGGGCTTGAGTTGGGACAAAAAGATACACATGAGCTAATTTATGTCAGTGAAAAGTAGCTGAAAATCAGATGCTTTCAAATATCTGAGCTAATTATTCTCTTGCTAACTGTATGTCTCTATATTGTTCTCCACAGCAGAGAAATACCCCTGCACATTTTTCATTATCCCCTCCATAGCCAGTGGAATCAGAGGTGTCAGAGAAGATTTTATTTTGTCAGCATAATCTTGAATTCTGATGATATGTATGAAAACAGTAATCTAGTTACATGTCAACTGTTGGAAGTTTTGTTGGAAGATTTGCAACTACACAAAACATCTTTTTACTTGAAACTTATATTTCATTCAAAAACCATTTCTGCCCAATAAACAAGAAATACCCTGATGCCGTTTTGTAGTCACTTTTCAGAGCATAGCAGTTAATCTAACTCTACAGTTACACTGTTACTGTATATTAAAAAATATATGTGATGTTCAGATACATGCAATATAGGCCTAGGGTTATCTTAAGCTTGGCATTTTTATGTCTTTTAAAGCTGCCATGCTGTAAACTGTATGCAATCCAGTAAAAAATCCTGTTTTCTTTCCTTTAAATACAGTTGATCACTATTTCAGGAATATTTACCACATCAGCATCTATCCTTGCACAGGATCCCAGTAGGCAAAGTACTCTGCAACAGTGTCTAAGAGGGTCTCTGACTCTCAAAATAGAGTATATAGTTCATCTTTCCTGCTGGTGAGATAAAATTCTTACTCCACTGTTTTATGACTGATTTTACTTATCTCCAGCTATGCAAATGCCACATTTTTGCATGTTTTGCAAAACCTGTTAACGCCCCATCCTGAATCAATCAACAGCAAACCTGAATATTTCACCTCTGTGAAACAGTCTCTGTTATTATCATAAAAATCACATGGGCAACAGTAGGCTGGCAATCTATGTTTGATGTTTCTCCTCCCTGCAGCAGATAATATATGTGCATAATTGCTCAAGTGCCATCTGGTTGCAACTTAAGATGTGTTGCTCATTGATAATGAAAGCACTGATTTGGTCCCCACACATAAAATGGAAGTCTGTTTAACACAAGCATGCATGATTTTGTAGGACCCTGATATAAAAAAAGAGCAATGCCTTGTCAAAACCTTTTAAGAACTGTGTATTTAATAATAGTTTTTGTAAATAGACTGGAAATATGGCTGAAAGAGACGTGATTGTTATGGAATTGAAAAGTTTAGTTGTTGCTATGAGCATGGAGTGGCAGCGTGAAGCCCCAGCCCATTTAATAACACTATAGGGCACCTATAGGGCTTCCCTAGCACAGAGAAGAGGGAAGAGTGAGGTTAAAAGGTGGCTGGGGCTCAGACCAGAGTGCACTGCAGTAAATTGCAAAACTGTCTTTGACACCTGTGTGTATGGCACTGCCCTGGTCTGCTCAAAACATGAGGTGGTGTCAGAGCAATTGGAAAAAAACCCAGGAAGAAGTGACAACTGAGCAAAAATATTATTCAAATGCATGAAAGACTTGCAGATATGAGAAGAAAAACCCATAATAATCCTTTTTTTCATGTCCATTGATAGTGCAAAAAGTAATGTGATTAAACTGTGGCAAGCGAGATTTACTTTAAAGCAGGGGAAACTCTTTAATGAACAGGGAGTGACTGGCAGGGATCTCTTGCCTGAAGCAGTTGTCAAGTGCCCATTAACAAGGAGGCTCTAGAAGAGGTTGAACGCATACCTGCCAAGATAAGCTTAGCCCATTCTGCCACGGGGCAGGGAGATGAAAGAATGACCTCTGAGATCCTTCCAACCCCTGCTGTGGTCCTCTGTATTCTGCATAGTCTCCTCATCTCTCATGCCTCTGTAGCAACATTTGTGCATAACTTGTCATTTCAAGGAGCAATGCCCTTAGCAGTTCTTCCCTTTGACCGGTGTTTGAGATGAGAAAAAGGTGAAGTATTATGTATTTAGTTTTTTGAAATAATTTTTAAAATTTGCTTGTCTACCTGATAATGTTCATTTTAAACACATATTATTGCCATTTCAAATGTGTGCAAAAGTGATAAGGGAGGTGACTAGCACCTTATTATTAATTTTCTGCTTTTATTTTCGGGAGATTAACATTCTGGCAAGAAATTTAATTGGACTTTTGTTAATTCTCACAGTGATGCTTTGGTTTTTCCTTTTGGGACTGGAGAGAAAAGCCAGCATCTGGTGTTTGAGGATGCTAGGGACTTACACCATATTATGTCTAATATCTCTACTGTGAATAAACAAAATGAATAATTAAGTGAATAATGAAGTCTCCTGAAAGACGACTTCTCTGATGGTATCTGTGGAATGTTTGTACTCCTGTCATTTGTTCTCTGTTGGGCATCTTGGGCAGCACATTGCCCATATGGATATTTGCAATGTATTTTTTTTAAGCAGAACCCAGAATTAATATTAACAGAGGTTGTCAGATATGCAGACACGCTTTTGCTCTGTCTGTATGAAAGGGGCAAACATAAGAATAGGAGAATTTGTGTCATGGCCCCAAGAACACTGACAGTCCTGACTACCCCTGCCTGGCTTCCCCCAGGGCCAGCTCCACACTGCTTATGGCTCAGGACCTCATGTCAGCCCCTCAGGGCCATCAGCCCCTGTCCCAGCAATGCCACAGCGGGGCTGGTCTCCAGCTGCTCAAAGCCCTGCCCAGCCATGGGCCCCGACAAGCCTGGCATAGCTCTGGGCTCCTGTTCCCAGCTGGTGCCTGCCCTGAGCCTGGCTTTATCCCCAGGGACCTGCCCAATGCCCAGGGCTAGCTCAGCCCTTGGTGCCACCAGCCTGCCTGCCATCCTGGGGTTGTCCCCAGCCTGCTCTGCTATCCTGAGGTTGTCCCCAGCCTGCTCTGCCATCCTGGGGTTGTCCCCAGCCTGCTCTACCATCCTGAGGCTGTCCCCAGCCTCCCCTGCCATCCTGGGGCTGTCCCCAGCCTCCCCTGCCATCCTGGGGCTGTCCCCAGTGTCCCCAGCCTGCCCTGTTGCCACAGTGGGCTCCCATGGCCAGTAGGGAGCCACCAAGTCCTGCTGCCCCACAGTTTCTGAGATGGTTTAAGCTCAGACAAGACTCAGATAAGCTTCATTAGAGGTGTTGTATAGTCTGTCCTGATACAAAACAATTCTGTGACTTGTTGGGATATTTTACTGTTCTTGCTGCAAGGACAGACCTGGAATTTGGTTCGCCTCCTGGATGCAGATGGTGTCCCCCAATGGGTCTCCCTGTCCTGCTTGGCCACCTGAGACAACACCAGGCCTCCTCTGGGGTGGAATGATGCAAGTCCCCATCTTCATATTTTTAGGACTCCTGAGAGAATGATGCCATTCTCTCATCAGCTCCTCCCAAAACACTAAGACTTGGCAGTTTGTTGAACTTGGATATAATACTAGATGGAACTAAGACCACAGTCTTGTGAGGAGCAGCAGAGGGAGCTGGTGTTGTTTAGCCTGGAGAAAAGAAGGCTCAGGGGAGACCTTACTACTCTCTAGGAGTATCTGAAAGGAGTTCCATCCAGGTGGGTATTGGTCTCTTCTCCCAGGTAACAAACAACAGGACAATAGGAAATGGTTCAGCCTCTGCCAGGGGAAGTTAGATCGGATATTAGGAAAGTTTTTTTATGGAAAGGGTGGTCAGGCATTGGAACAGGCTGGCCAGGGAAGTGGTGGAGTCACCACCCTTGGAAGTGTTCAAAGGGCGTGTGCATGTGGCTTAGTGGTGAAGATGGTCATATGATGTTCATGTTGTACTCAGGGACCTTAGAGGTCTTTTCCGGCCTCAGTGGTTCTGTGATTCATGAGTCTGTGCCTGTTGGATGCAGATAGTATCTTCCATACGTAATGATTTTGCAATGGATGGAAATGTTCAAATCACTGGTACATCAGTGGCACAAAGGGCAACTCTTCTCATGGTCCATGCAGCAGCTAAGGACAGGGTAAGGGGTAGGAGCTGCTGGCTCCAGCCACAGACCTGCTTCAGCCATTGCTGAACAATTGCTTAGTTTGTCTGTTCATTGCATTTTTAAAATATAAACTGGAAGTAATCTGGTTTGTTGATTTCATTTGCTTTTACAAAAGAAAAAAAGATGACAACACAAATGACTACTTGATACATCTGTAAATGCATCAGGCAAATGGTATCAGGCAAAGTGAAGGTATGTTTGGGGTTTTTCCCCTTGAATATTTTATTAATATTCCTGTGATTAGCACTGAGCAAGCTGAGACCTGAATTTCTGCTGCTGTGCTAAGGCAACAGGAGACACCTCCCTCAGCCAAATTTCTAGTGAACTTTCTGAAGACAACAATGGGGAAAGCACCACAGGATCCCTAGGGGAACAACACCATCTCCTGACATTTTTAGACGAATTGCTGGGGAAGCCTGACACTGAGGCTGCTGGATTCTGTGGAATTAACATTATCTCAACTTCAGCTTTCCTCCTTGAATCTAACTCTGTATAAGTAGAATGCAAAGTGATTTTTTTGTATATGTGATATGATAATTAAAGTTAACATTTTCTCTGCACTTGCTACTCTGAACTGTAAAGGAAAGCCAAATGAATTGTCAAGGAGACATAGTGGAAATTAATGATGGGGATAGAACTCAGAAGGGCTCTGGACATCTGGGCTCAGTGCTCTGCTGAACACCAGTAATTGGTTAAAATCTGTTAATATCACCTGAGGTGAATGTCCTAAGCTTTCCCTGACAACTCTGCTGGCTGCTAGCTATGCTTTTGTGCCTTCATTTCCAGCCCAGGGCCAGACACACTCCTTTCCATTTCCTCGGGAAGAAGACTGAGTGAAATTAGCAGATGACTGCGGCAACTGTATCGCCTCTTTGCTCTGTCCCTTGCAGCCTGCACTCACTGCCAGTGGTCAACCTACCTGGTCACAGGTATGTAGTTCCCCAGCTTCCTATCATCTGCTTAGGGTGGAAACTTCAACACCTGGCTGGAAAACATGTAAAATTTTAAGAAGTATTGCCCCTGTCAATGATGGAAAACTGCAAAAATCTCACTCTGAAAATGTAGAAAAACGAGTTAAAAGACACCAATGCTCTGCCACAACATCACTATGATTTGATGAAATGACAGTTCTTAAAAAAAAAAGGATTTTTATGTCTGCTTTCAAACATAATCTTGAATAACAACTCATATTCCCAGTATCATGGCATGAAACCCTAGACAATGCAACTACACAAAGTATAGCTTCTCCAATGTTAAACCACCAGCAAGGACAAACTATTTTTAGAGTTGTCATATATTACTGCACCTGAGCTTTATTGGTCTTCAGATTAAAAGAGGTTTTTCTTCAGAGAAGTTCACTTGAATTTTACACTCATTTACTAAGCCTTATGTTACTATTCAATTTATTTTAAAGCAGATTCTTTGGGAAAAAATTAGAAAGCTAATTTGAATTGATTCTTTGGAGATTCAGGCTTAAATGAAGTGCCATAAAATTGGCAGTCAAAGTGAAAAAATAGAATTGAATTCTATACTTGTACTACTCAATGGACACAAGCACCTTGCTCTTTGATGCTGCTGCTGAGGTTTTTGATGCAGTGTATTTCAGACAATTTAAACACACCTAAGCACGACACTTCACTGAAGTTTTGGTCACTAAGGAACCACAGAGTATTCCTTGTTCAATTGGTTTTTATCAGATAAATTTATGGCTGGTGGGTTCATAAAATTCCTCATTCTCTCCAGGTTTTCAAAACTAATTTTATAAATACCTAGTGGCATTAATCATAATATTGGGTAAGTAATGGGAGTTTAGCATTTAGTTGTGGACTTGTCAGGACAATGCTCCTCACTGAGAAGCTCCCCTTTTTCCATTTCTAAGTGTACCAGATTTGGATAAGAATATTTTGAGTATCCAGCAGTTTTAATGCTCAATTTAGAACATTCTGTGACAGGTTTCAGGTTTAGGTAGCAGATGTGTTTTTCGAGTTTTTTCAGAAACCATGTAACTTTTAGCTTTTACTATCCCATATTACAGGGCATCTAAAATTGTTAACATTTTCAGACAATTTAGGCCACCATGGTCATTCATTATAAAATGAGTAAATATTTTTACAGGTTTTTGGTCAACAGGTCAAGCCTGTAGACAGAAACATTTTAGACATCTAGAGACATTTTTCTCTAGAAAAATGAAACTGTCTGCTTAACAGAATTTATGCTTTTCTGTAACTGTTTGATGCATTTACAGCTTGGGAAATTCACAGAAATAATGGCTGAGGCGATGGTTGTTCAATTTCCTGTCACATAAATTACTGAGTAGATGTTCATTACTCCATCCCAGTGCTGTGCTTCCAACCTAATCAGAGGAAGAAGTAAGGATTTGGAAAAACATTCTGGAGAAAACTCCAGTTCATGCTATTATTTTCTCTGCACATATGGCCCTATATTACAAATGACTGTTATTTTGTATGAGTAAATATGTGATGAAACACTGAAACTGAAAAAAAATATATATATTGCTTTTTCTTATAAACTTCATTTGAAAACAATTTTACTGAAAGTGGCCTTCATTCTCTGGATTATTTTCTGATGTGCCCAGTTTTTCTAACAATATTAGTCAGGAGCAGACATGCTTATTTGCTTTAGCTCCTGTTGTAAGTGGACACCTGAAGTCAGACACCAAAGTTGGTATTTAAATGTGGAAAATAAAATCCCCCAGTCTTTCACACATGCTAAGTTTTGCTACAACCCTCAGTGATCTCAGTGGGAGCTGTGGCTGCTTAACATTTTGAAAATTTGGCAGTTTTAAGTGAGGTGCTTTGTGAAGGAGAGAGGTGTCTGTCTGCCTTGATCCAACTGGAATGCTCCTTGGAACCAGCTGGAAATGAGGGGGGTGTGATGCTTCCCTTGTTTGCTGCACTGCCGAGCTGATGGAGACCTATGGACTGCTCTGTGCCCCTGGCTCTCTGAAAGCAGAGCTTGCTGTTCAGAAACTTTCAGGCACCTGCTATTCAGAAAATTTCTTCTACCCCTTTTTGCTTAAGACATTAAGCAGAATTTGCCAACATGCTGGCAGCCACAAACATGTCAAGCTGTTTGGCTCTGGGAAGTGGCATGTGGTGAGTTTTCTCATTCATAGGGCAGAATTTTGACAGAGCTGATCTCTGGATCCCTGGAAATCCTTTAGCATCTGTCATGCTTACATAAAGAATAAAATTTTCTCAAAGCCAGAGACCTGTCCTCAGTGTATCTCAATGGCTAAGGATCTGAAATTTCCCTCTATTGAAAATGGAATTGTTTCTGAATGCTGTGTGCAGTAAGAATATAATAACATGAAGGATAAAGAAAAAATTAGAAAAGTAAATTTCATCCAGTTGTCTCTGCTTTGTATTTCTCTTCTTACTCCACCAGAAGTCCGAGTCTTTCCTCTCTGTGCAGAGCAGCACTTTGGGAACAAAGTGATACAACCCTGAGCCAGAAATGCCCCTCTCTTTCTTCCAAGTGGGTGTGCAAAAAGACATCAGCACTGTCCAGTTTTTAGATCTCTGTCTTATTTATGTGTTATAATATTAAAATACGGCAGGATAACCTTTTTCCATAGATAAACATAGCTTTTGGACACCAAATGAAGCACAAGGTTTGGAAACCTGCCTCCTTTCTCCTTGTAGGATACCTCCTTCCCTCAATCCTGGCTTTTCCATCCTGTGGTTTTCAGTGGCTTCTTGGGCTGAGAAAGTCCATGAAACTTATGCTGGTCCTTGAAGAAACCTGCTGCTCCCTGGGTTCCCACAGCTCAGGTCTGCTCCCTCCTGCCAGCCTCCTGGTATACCCCAAGGCCTTCCCCATGGCCCCATCCCATGGTCCCAGGCAGAGGAGGCTCCCAGCAAGCTGTTCTACAAACTTGTATAAGGAAAGCAATGATTTGTTAAGAATCTTGTTTTGTTCCTGTTGAATTAAGAGTAAACTACAAGCTTTGTGTTTTACCCATTGATCTCATTAGCAATTTTTTTTTGGAGAAGGAAGTTGGCTGGCAGTTCTGGTTGTTACTCAGTTGTAAATAATGATGTAAACTGTTAATTACATGATATTTGTTTATTTGCTGAAGATTAGTAAAGGCCTTTTAAGAGGCCCAGCAGATTTGGGGGGGTTATTAAATCATGTTGTAAAAGGATGGATCCACACCTGATTCTAAATGGCAAATTGATTCCAGGTAAGGTCTAGAGAAGGTATGCAAAGAAAATGAAAGACACTTCTTAATTTTTAGGGGAAAAAAGCTGCTTGAGAACAAGAAATCATTGCAAAACCAAGCATTTTTTTATAATTAGGCTTTGATAATTGCAGTGAATTGTCTCTTCTTCATAGCTGTGTCTGAGTCCCTTTGCTGATCTGAGTGCTGTCCCTCAAACAGGGTGTCTTGTGTCTTATTTGTCTTAAGATAAATAAACCCATCATTTTCTCAGGTTTATATCTGATTATAATCAGGTTATAATGATGACTATATTCTAATTATAATTTTAAATAAACCTGATTTTATTTAGGTATTTATTAGATCTGGTCACCAGAAATAGTAACACAGTAAAACCAGATTTGATTATTAGCTAAACCTTTGACAATATAACTCAAACAGTAGATTAGTTTTCTCTTTGAGTTAAGCAACAGAAGATGCAATTTCCATTCTTTCAGCCAGCATAATAATTTTCTTTAGAAAACCTTTTGGAAATGTTCTTTTACAAGATTCTGACCTTTTTTATTCCCATATCTTTTAGGGGCAATGTGAAAGAAGTAAAGGAGGAAATTCAAGTGCAAGAAGCAGAAGAAGGATGAAACAGGAGAGGGTTTTCTTTTCAGAAAAATGAAAATGGAAAAAATCTAACAAATCTTTTTATGGGAAGCTGAGTAAGTAAACATTGTTTATTTCAAAAGTACCTACAAAAATAGCAGTATAAATGAAAATATTTGTCATCGTTACAAGCTGCCCATAGGCAGTATTAATGTAATTATTTTACTCCATATCTAATGCTGAAGTGTCACACCATGCAGATAAGTGCTTTAGAGGTGCCAATAGATAGACTTTTGATATTAAAGATATTTGTATTTGATATTTTTGATATAAAGATATTTGTATTACCACACAGTAATCAAAGTGAGAAATAGTACAATGGCAAGAGAGTTACCTTTATTTTAGAGCTGGGAGCACATGTCCATAGCAGAGCTGAGGGCCATGCAGAGCATGTGCTGCACAGTCTGTGTGTCCTTCCTGCTGTCCATGAGCAAAGCAGAGCCTGTCTGAGGTGCTGTGGCCCCCAGGGTTACTCAGCAGCTGCAGTGCCCCACACCTCTGTGGGTGTAACCACTGCTCACATCCTGTGCAGACAAGGCACTTTTGCTCTCTGATGCTTTCCAGGTATAATTTCAATGGGACATCAATATCCAGTTCCAGCCACAGATGCCTTTGCTCTGCTTTAATTATCTGATGACCATGGTAACTCCATTTATTTCATAATTTTTTCAAGCCATCAGAAAAGTAAAATCTAAAAGATATGTCCAAAGAGCCAGGAAATGTACAACATAGACATCTTTATAAAGTTATATTTGTGAGACAACTACAGAAAATTATCTGTCATAGGATTTACAAAACAAGACTTAAAACAAGTAAATTAGTACTGAAAGACTTTACTAGCCTCACAGTAAATCTTGTTTTTCAATATACATAGGAAACATAAAAGCACTGTCATGCCAAGTAACAAATTCCCTTTTCCTCATCACATAACAAGACCTCTGACTGGAACTGTCCCCCAGAATAGTTTGACTTTACCTTTGTTGTTCACATTAAATCCAGTACATAATTTTTTGACTTTTAGAATCAGGTTGACATTTAATTATTAGTAAGCAGAAAATATAATCAATAGAGTTTACTTTAACAGTTACTCACTTTGTCCCACATGATAATGAAGACATAAATTTTTAAATATCTGTGCACAAGTGTATTCCAAGAAGCAGAACATTTGTAGTTCTAGAACTCTGTTCCCTTTCTTAATGACTGATGTAGATGAATAAATTGATATCCAAATAAGCCAAGTCACTTCAATTGTTTTACAGTAAAGGTTATTTACAGCTTCCTCAAATCTGATACATCTCTAAATGGCTGAGGAGATGAAAGAGCATTCACTAGACTGAGGTAAGTGCTCTGAGGAGTGCAAAACTCAAAAAATTTACACCTTTCTGTAACAAAATGCTACATACTTTGTATTTGTTAAAATAATGGTAATAATAATAATAATAATAATAATAATAATAATAATAATATAATAATAATAATAATAATAATAATAATAATAATAATATTTATTAGATCTACAACTAATTTTTTTTTTTAATCACCATTTTTAATATGCTTCGTTCACAGAACTAAATGTAAGCTGTGCTTAGACATGTTTCAAAACTTACCCTGTAATTATAACATATGGAGATCCAGGTGTCATCCCCCTCTACAGCCACGTTTGCACTGTGTTTCTGTGGCATGTGTTGAAAACAATTATTAGCACATGCTGAAGACTATCAAGTGGGATGTTTGCAGCTGTCACTTCACAGGATTATCTTTTGCCTCCCATTTGGGATGATTATGTCTGTTGTCAACAGGCTGTTGGAGGATCATGTAACAGGGGCCAAATGCAAGACTCTTCTCATCAGACAGCACTTAGGGGTAGGAAACCCAAGGGAAATAAATGCAGGGGACATAAAAAGAGAAAATAAGCACAGGGAAGGAATAATGGAGTTTTGTTCATAGCTGAGTGATGTTTCGTAACTTCAGCATAATTTGGCTTTTTGATGAAGCTAATGCTTCATTCAATGCAATTTTATTCTTAAATTACCTGCAAATTCAAAATGATTTTCTGACTACATCATTTGGTCTGACTCACACATGGCAAATACAATATGAGCAACTCCATGTCACTAAGGCACAGGAGCCTGCAGCTGAGGAAGCCTGAGGCATTTCCTCAAATTTCCATTGAAGTTGCTAGAGGGTTTTCCTAAATAAAGAAAGAGAAGTGCTTGTGATCAGGCTATGTACCTCACAGGATGGGGATGTGATAGGAAAAATTCCCTGTATCTAAAGGCTTGTCAAAAATACAACCCCCAGAACATGGAGCATTTCACAGCTGAGAGCCAGATGGATGGTGAATACCCTTCACCCAGACCCCTTTCTCCTTTCTTTTTTCATATGTTTAAGGCAGAGAGAAGTAATTAATGATATGTGGGAGAAGTGTAGGGTATTACACTCCAAGAGCTAAAATGCTCACAGGCACTTGATGCCTTGCTGCACTGAGAACTACTCACAAGTTGCTGCTCCTAAAGTCCAGCCATATGTGTTAGAAAAGCTAGTGTGAAGCTTTAATGTGCAAGTAGGTAGTTAGACAGGCACATAAATATTTCATGGAGAATTGTTAGATAAATATGCAAGAGGTTTTTATTCAGATCCAAATTTGCCTTTACTCAGGCACTGAATTTGGTAAACAAGAGGTTCAATATTTGATGCTTGAGTGTAGGTATCCATATGAATTGATACTTCTCAATTAGATAGTGGGTATTTCTTTGACATAAGTTCTCAATCAAATAAAGGTTGAAGTCACTGGCACACTGGATGTGCTGCAGGTAGAACATCAATGAGACATGCATGGCTTTGTGTAACACGCATTTTTTGTATTGCAGTCTTCAGATTTTGTCTGCAAGAAGAGTTTGATGCAATCAGTCACAGCTCTTACAAGAAAACTACAAAATTCATTGACACTAATTATCTGACTTAAGGTAGAGTTTTGTGCCAGTTCTCCATCATCTCCCCCTCCTTGTCTGGCAAAATGAGAGTGAACATCAGTGCAGGTTCCTGTGGGGAGTTGTTTTGGCTGGAGCCTGGCAGGCACAGATGGACAACAAGCTGCAGACCCTGGTCCTGCTTGGCTGAACAACCACACTGGGTCATCTAATGGATACTCAGAGCTGTGAGAACACTTGTTTGCTCTGAACTGCAGCTCCCCTGGTTTCCTTGAGTTGACAACTGGCACACTGTAGTCCCTCTCAAAATAATTTCTCTCTGATGCCCATTTTTGGTATGTGACAAGCCTTGTGGCCTCCTTCTTCTCTTCCTTCTCCCACACACAGAGTTGTGAGAAAGCCTCTACCCTTTGTACCCACCACTCAGCTTGCAGGCACTGGTGCTCTGCACAGAACATGCGTCATTAGGCTCATTCCTGGGCCTCCAGCTGATGACAGGGCCTGGTCCTAAGAGGCCCAGATCAGCAGCACGGACACATGGCATGGTCAGTGCGGGTGCCCCAGGCACTGCTGATGCTTCTGGCCCACCAGATCTCCCTGTTAATACCTGGCTATGTGAGGGTGGCTAGAAAGGAAAAGCCATGGGATAAGGGCAGCACATAGAAACACAGGGCACCCGGAGAATTAGCAGGATGAGGGGAATGTTGGCACTGCGGTGAGGCCTTGAGTACACATCATCATCAATGGCAGTTGATGATGGAAGAGGAACAGCTGGAGAGAAGGGCATCAAGGCCATTTAGAGCACGGGACATCTGAGCACAGATGCCTCTGCTGCATATCTGCTCATGGTGCCCTCTGCTGCAGTCCCAGCAGCCACACAAGCCTGCTGGTATCCTGTAGCAGCTCCAGGACCACCCTTCTTCCTGGTGCTACATCCCTGCTTTGTCCCTTCCTGTAGACAGTCCTTGAACCCTGCTAGGCCAAGCTCCTTTTCTTTTATTCATTCCTGCAATCCCACTTGTTGTATGAACTGAGACTAGTTTCTCTGCTACGCCCCATGAAACCAGCAATGCTGCATCCATCTCTCTCTTCCTTGCAATCTCTGATCCCTTCCAGACTGACAACATGGCTTCTGCTTATCTGAATTCCTTCTGTGCTCTGACACCAGGGTGTTAGATGAGTTTCTGGGAAGACAGGCTTCCCACTCCCAATGTCCTGAAGAAAGCTTCAAGTATGCAGTGTGGCTCCTCTAAAACCCATGATAACCATGTGTAATCAAAGCAATCACATCTAGACAGTGGCTAACATTGCAGATGCTTGGGCTCTTTCATGGTATTCCATTTTTTCCCTATTTTTTTTTCTCCCTTCCTCTCTTTTATACTTATCTCCCCACCATATCTGGCCCTTCAGTCTCCTTGCCCATACTAGAAAAATGAGGAATCTATGACAATAGTACAAGAGTGTTTTGTGACTATGACACAGTGGTAGATGGCTCTGACAGCACAATTATGTTGAAGCCAATGGAATTCAGCATTTTTTATCCCACAGCTAAGAATCTGACTCCTATTTTCAAGAGATTAATTCTTTTCAGATTTACAGAAGTCATCCCATGTGTGTTCTTGCTGTTCCTTCTTCTTGTCAAAGCACTTTACTTCTCTGTTCTCATAACAATCTATTTTTTGAAAACAATGAATGAATTTAATAAGAATAATGGCCTTGTGTGTGAGGCTCAATCAATCCGATTTTCAAGCCTTTTCAAAATTTGCCGAGCTCTACAGCTTAAAAATCCACACTTCAGCTTCTCACAGCAAGTGTAAGATGCTTCTTAAATTTCTGGGCAGTTGGAGCATTTGCTGTCCTCAGGCAACATCAATTTGTACATTACCACAATGAGCCCAAATTGCTCTCCGTGGTTTGATTCAGTTCCAGAGGCAAATTATAAGATTTAGGCACAACTGGGAAAATATAGGTGAGAATTTCAAAAGTTCCTTCCAGCACATACAAGCTCAGCTTCCTTAAAACTGCTAGCACTTGTGCTCCAGGTCAGTCAGTATTCAACGTCTGCTCACATAACACTTTATTATACCTCTGTTAAGGTGTGTTAGGAGAGCCCAGCAGGCATACTTCTTACTTCTGAATTGACTGCAAGCTAGTGAACAGATGTGATTCCCTCCCTCCACCCTCCTGAAGAGCCACGCGGGTAATTTCACCTGCAGACATGCAGATGAATATTTACTCAGTGCAGGCAAACTACTTACATCTGCTACACTATTTCTCTTGGTTATTTTTGTGACATTGTCAGGAAGGCCTTTACATTTTTTGGCTGAAGCACCCCAAACAATAGCTCTTTGAATAAGCTGAGAATGGACAATGAACTCATGTGAGTGATTTGTGACCATGGCCTCAGTCAGACTAATGAGAGTGCACATTTCTGCCATGTGGCCATTGCTCATATGTTCTTCAGAGGTGCTCAAAACGTAGGTTTTGCAATAAAAAAAAACCAAAACATTTTGGCATAAAACACATTAAAAAGAACAACTACTTAAGGTTTATGCAATGAAAATAACAACTTAAAAAAAAAGGTACTAAACAAAAAATAAGAGTATGTATGAAAAAATATAAAAAATAAGTTGCTACTGTTAAGAAGAAGGCTGAAGTACTGAATATTAACCTAAAGAATTCTAAAATAGATATTTCTCTGTATTTCTGTGCTATGAGAAATAATCATATCAGACAACACATTTTAGAGTTCCTACTCTATTTTTCTTGTGACACTGCACCTTAGAAAACTGAGATCGGGTCTTTTACTTAACCCTTTTTTTTTAGTTTTTACATTTTTGCATTTAGTAATATTGCACTGCTGTTTTGTCTGTTCTTTGTCAATGTTACTTCTAGGCTTTGACGTTTCAATAAAATAATGTTTTCATGTTCAATTGGGAAATGCTATCAGGACATACTTGTGTTTAAACACATTTCAGTGGAAGGAATTATAAAAGAAAGTCCCTAAAAACATGACTGTTGATCTCTGATTATGTGAAGCATCTTTTATCTCAATTAATTGCTAGATTTGTCTCTTTAACATTGCTTTTACAGGGACAGGAAAGAATACTATTCAAAACACATTAAAGAATAGAAAAAGCACTGATATTTTCTCTTATTGTTCAAATGACATCTCAAGCATCAAACAAAACATGAAGAGTGAGTCAATATCTTGAAAGCACAAAAACACAAATTGATCTTTTTATTTAAAGCAGTTCCATGTGTTGAGCTGAAGTGGGAGTCCCAGATACTTTCCACTTACAAAAAAGTTTCCACTTACCACATAAGTTTAACCTAAAAACCCAGAAGTGGATTCGGTAGCTTGACATCTTTGAAAGCTCAGCAGTAAAGTTCAGCCAATCTCCCTAGAAGGTTCCATGGAGGAGCAGCCCTAATTAAGGTCTTCTCACCCTGTGCTTTTGCTTTTCCTTGTTCTTGTGCATGTCTTTGCCTTGAGAACAAGGCTGAGATTTGGTGCATTGAGCACATTTCATCCCTTGGCCAGCAGCACCATGGGTCCCTGCTTGGGGTGGGGAGGAAGCAAAGCTGGACATAGCCATGTAGGGAATTGCAGGACATGCTGCATGGCCTGGGAGCCCCATGGAAGCTCCCCTAGAGCTTGTCTTTCCAAGGAAGTCTTGCCATGAGCTCCTCTTTCTAATCTGACTTGTAGATGTCCACTGTAGGGAAAGGTGCAGGAAAGAGATATCCTGAGACACACCTAACACTGATGGCAGTGATGCTGAGCTTGTGAAGCATGACTTGGATGCCCTGCAGCAGCTGTGCCCATGCTTTTAGGGCTGAACAGACTGAAGCAGCTGCCTTGTGATACCCAGAAGCACCAATCTGGCTTCATCCAACTATCCACACCTTCCAAATGTACCTTCAGAGGCAACTAGAAATACCTGCCCTGTTTGTGCGGTGTTGAGTGTTCTTGCTAATGTGCTGCCTCTTTAGCAGGGCACTCAGGATTGAGCTCCAGCTAAGATAACTATGAGCATCTTGTACACTTTTATTATTAATGCTGTTGCTGTTTGTTTTCTTATTTCTTATCTCAGTCTGTGATCATTGCCTTTTGTGATTCCAATTCTCCTCTTCAGCCCCAATAGGGGAGGAAGAGGGGAAGGAGGGAGTGAAGAAGCAGCACATGGTTTGGAGTTCTGATAGGAATACTAAATGGGAGAATACCATTCCTAAAACATGACAACACAGCACTTGATTCCTCTGGGCAGGATACAACAGGCCACTGATAAGTGCATGCTGCTGCTAATGGAGTTTCCAAAGCTGTAGTTGGTGTAAACACTTTGTGTCTGGCACTTGCCTATGCTGGGTGAAATGGTGTGTCCCAGACTTTCCAAAGCATCTTAGGCAATTGTTATGGGGTTCTTTTCTCCATGCTGGGTATTGCCAGGTTGAGAGTAGCTGTGTTGTCTAGGGCAACAGAGGAGTCCTGTCTAGGGGAGGCATACAGAAGGACTTGTGTGCTGAACCTTGCTCAAGAAAATTGCTCTGAGCTGACCCCTCAGTTGGGCACCTTTGTGTAACAGGGTACGTGTTTGTACAGACAGGACCATCTGTGTAATGAGAGCCCAAAGTGAGCAGGATGCTTGTCAGAGGGTATGCTGGAGATTTGGGGCATTACACATGCTGGCTGCATGTTTCCAAAGGTTCCTGCACACAGAGACAAGAGGTATGGGAGATGGGAGCCAGCCTGTCAGAATGCTGAATGCTACCAGCTGCCAGACCATAGGGCTTGGGCCCTATGATCCAGTGACCCTGAGTCTGAACGTGGATGATTTTTATAGCCAGAAGATATGTAACTTGTGGTGTTTCTGGGCAGAGCTATTTGCTGATTAACCTTGATGACCCTGGATTCTAATAATGCAGTAATTTTGAGGCTAATGTAGCAAATTTAGGCAGAGGAGACCTTTCAGGTGACACTTGTGTAAAGATTCCAATTTAAAAATAAAGTAGGATTAGAAAGAACATATTAGCTAAAACATTTGGCAGCTATTTTGGACTTGACATCATAATTCTTGTGAATTAATGAAAGTTATCTGTAATATTCTGGCAAACCTCTGTTCCTTGTTTATCAGCTCTATTATCCCTTGTCATGTATTAAGTCTAAGCTATGAGACTAATCAGAAGCCAGATAAAATAGCAGAATGATCTCTGCTGATTTCAGACATCTCTGGAGCAGACTCAAATGCTAGTAATCTCTTAGAATATGAACCCAATTTTGAAGGCATTTATACTGATGGAATAACTGCTTGCTCCAGGAAGTTACTCTGCATTTCCATCATTTAAACTCTTCTCCTTTTATTCACCTGTGCACCACCAGACAATGCTTCTGTGCTTTATAAATAACAGTGAGTAACAGACAGTGATTGTATCCTCATGCCCTCTTTCGATTAAGTTCTCTACGGATTTGGATGGGTAAAAGCTTTATGCTTCAGACTTGCCTTTTATTTGTGCCACTTAAATTTTTCATCTATATAAAGTTATTTTCCCTCTTCAGTCCTTCCCTGTCCTCTCCTGCCTCTGGCTGCTCCTCAGCATTTTAGTCAATAGGAGCTTCAATCGGTGCAAGCACATTAGGAATTAGCCCAAGAGCAAGTGTGATATGAGAAAGTTTCCTATTATTTCCAAAGAGAAGATAAAAGCAAAGGAAAGAACCAAGTATACTGAGCAAAACAAGGACAACAGACAAAAGTACAGGATCAAGGAGGGAAGATCTATTAAACTTGCATTCAACTCAGTGGAAAGAGAAAGGGCCAAGGCATGTAGTGTGTCTGCAATTATCATACAGTGCTTTGGGACAGTGATTTCCAGTATGCTCTTTCCCATTTTGTTTAATTTTTAATTCAAATTGTGTACTAAAAATAGGGAGCATTTTGGAGCTGAAAGGATGTGAATGGCATAGGAATAAAAACCAGAAACTGCAAGAGGAATGCTGCTGTAGCTGAAACAGCCCTGCTGGGATTTTTAGCTTTGTGTCTCAGTCAGTTAGAGTTACAAAATGCAGATTTGCCTTATCTAGGTCATTTTGGCTGAGAGAACACGTGGTAGTCCCTTTGTGAAATAAACAATTAGCCAGAGCAAGTGGTCATCTGTCTAATTCTCTGTAGCTACTGCTATTCCCTTCTCTTACGTGAATTTATTTGTACAAATGATTATTAATATCAAGAAGCTATTATTTTTAGTAAGTTTTATAAAAAAACCCCTGGAACCTCTGGTTTTCAATCTGTATCACTGCAACATGGCTTGTTTGTCCAGAACCAGAAGGTCGAAAGACTTTTATCTAGACAAAATTATGAAACCTTATGCTTATGTATTAGCCTCCTCTCCAGACCGGATAATTTTTTGCCTGAAGTCCCAATTCAGCAACTGCTCTGAAGAGATCCCTTTGAAAAGCAGAGCTATTCCTTCTCTAGGCTAAGAAAAAAACCAAAAACAAACAAACAAACAAACAAACAAACCACAAAAAAAACACCCCCCAAAAAAGCTGAAATATCAGGGAGCAGTTTCATCTAATTCTTCATCAGCTGTGTTTTACAAGCCTCAGACATCCTCTGCCGTGATTGTGTGCATGTGGTGTGGGCACCACTCTTTCCAGCAGCCCCTGGAAGTGGGGCTGCCCCCTCTGCCTTTGGGTGTTCATTACACTGAGACTGGCATTGGTGACTTTTCGTGAAACAGCCGATTTGGCGTGATAAAGACACAAACCAGGGAACTTCTACACTTCAGCTTTTGGTTTTTGTCCAAGTTACATGTTAAATCAATTGTAATATTGATAACATAATCTGGAATCTTTGTCTAGATTTCTGTGGGCTTATGGTTGAAGGATGAAATGCATTTGCCTAATTCATATATTAAATCTCATACCCAGGGAGGCTAAGAAAGAATAATTACCCTGAATTTTACAAAATTACTGTTTTCCAAGGTTCTCCAACCATGTCCAACTGGAAGGATTTTTGCACTCTAATGAACCAGCTTCTCTTTTTGAAAATACTGGTTCATCCAACTAGAGCAGACAGTATTTTAGAAAAAAAAAATGACCCATATGTTTAATTTT